GTTTTGTCACCAAAATTTTATACAAAAACTTATAATTTAGCCTAACTAAAATGTTACACTTATAATCTATATCTCGTTGGTAAAAGTGGTAGCCACCGGACCAGGTGGTAGTCCAAAGTGCGACTGAACGATTCTCATTTGTTCAGATAAAGGTGAAGGAGCGATCTCTATTTCTCTACTATGGGTTTCTAGACTTAATAGGCTGTTTGGCCAACCTTTTTTTGGCCAAAAATAAGGAAGAAACTGTTTTTGAGGAGAAGCAGAAAAAAATAGCTTCTCCCCAAAAACACTTTTCTGAGAAACTTTTGAGAAAATATACTTAGAAGTAGTTTTCAAAAGTTTGGCCAAACATTAATTGCTGCTCAAAAGTGATTTTCTAATTAATAAGACAAACACAAACTACTTCTCACCAAAGTATTTTTTTGTTTAAAAGTACTTTTGAGAACGCACTTTTCAAAATAAGCCGATTTTGGAAGTTTGGCCAAATGGCCTATTAATTTAGAAAGCGTCCTAATTCTAAAGTCACGCGTTGAAACTATCCATGAAATGTTTGACTTAATTGATACTCCATCCGGTCCACAATAATTGACCATTTTATCTTTTTATTTTGGTTCAAAATAAGTGTCCATTTACATAATCAAGAAGTAGTTTATTTTTAATTTTTTTAAATCTGCCCTTATTTATATATTTCAATGTGTCAAATTAACAATTAATTAAATTTAATTTAATGAATATACCTTTTTTTTTCTTTAGGAGTTAATATTTTCTTAATGGATATATCAAAGATAAAATTATCACTTATTGTGGACCGGGGGAAGTAGCAGTTAAGTAACCTGTTTAATAAAAGCTACTCCTTCAGTCTCAAATTAATTTTATCATCTTCCGCTTCTCAAATGTCAAATTACATGAGCTTTGACTAATAGGTTAACATGTAGGTTTTCATCATATTGTCATCAGAAGCAAATTATAATATTTTTGGTATAGTTTCGAACATTTAACTTTAAATTTAAATTATTAAATTAATTTAATCCAATTTAACTTCAAAATTTAATCAAATTAACTCTCGAAAAGTGAAACATGACAAGTATATAAGTAAACGTGAAAGCAATTAGGAACAAAAGTTATAGGTATTGATCACGCCCAACTATGCCTTATAAAAAGGACAAAGCGGTCGCTGCAAATATATTCCCGTTAACAAGTCCGGAGTCGAATCCCATAGGGAATTAACCTATCAATCACAGCTATTGGACTCACAGAAATTCATGTCAATTTTCAAAGATATTTGAGTAACAAATTGGGTGTTTATTAACTAAATATTATGTAAATAAAATGCAGTAATTAAGAATTAGCTATAAACGGTTTGTAAGCAAGAGTGAGAATGGTCTAAGGTTCTGATTTCCCCTCTTGTCGGAATTCTTTCCGCTATATTTGCTATAAATTTGCCTAAGTTTCTCTATCGATCATGAGCACTCTGACTGTCGTAACTCTTTCCCGAGTAATTACAACAATATACTAGACATATTCTCCCGAATTACGCTAGCTGGCCTTAGTTACAGCTCACTTAGATCGCTCCCAAGGTTTTGTTATCCCTAATCCCACCTTTAAACCCTCCGTATTGATCCCTCATATACGTTAGAAGTGGTGTTGTTTAACAACTACCTAAATATACACTCTCTCTCGAGTAATACATAATAAATAGGCACAACATTGAGGGCCCTTCAATCAACAACAATCACAATATAGTTGAACAAACAGAGAAAATATTAGGGCAAATTTGTACTAACATAATGCGAAATATCATCCTCCAAGAGGTTCCATCAAAATCCTAGATTAGGAGTTTATCTACGCATAATCGTTTTCACAATCATAATAATATAATTCATCCTCAATGATAAAAACAAGAAGAAGAAAGGTAAAAACTCTATGCCGAATCTTCCGTCTTGTTTCTTGCCTTCAAAAACACTTCAAAAACCTCGATCCTCTTTTTAGGCGAGCTGGGCTTCTTATAGGTCAAGGAGAGTCGTCCTAGAAATTACACAATTGACCTTGCAATATTTGGCTCCGAGCACCCCGTTCGCGGATGGACCGCGAATTGACCGCGGATTTGACACAAGTTCTGTCCGCGGCTGCGGACCTGATCGCGGACCTGGGTGCGGATTTGGTCCTTGCTCTTTCTTCTCCCTTTCGATCGTGTTATCCTCCGATTGGCCTTCCATGCTCTATATTGACTCCAAAACACTCTTTTAACTTCCTCCTAGCTTGGAATGACTCCTGCAAAGCATAAAACTCTTAATTAGAGCATTTTGTTATCTTTTACAATCAAACATTGATAAAGTGCGGCCAAATTAGAGTGTAAATATTAGCCAAATTGCAAGATTATCATCTATTATCAACACTCCACACTTAAACCTTTGATCGTCCTCGAGCAATCAAACCACACTTTACAACGGCCTAACTTCACTAAGCGACTCCCATAACTCGTCACACCAAGAACATTTCACAAGAATTAAGCCCAATAGTATAACATCTTCGCCTCAAGAGCTGACTCTCCCATGCCATGCAATATTCCTAACTTTACTCACTTACTCTAATGCAGAGGTTAAGACTCACCTTTCCTTTATGAATCAAGTGCCCTTTCATAACAAACGAGAGTGGTTCCACACACAATAACAATTAAGAACAATTAGGAACTCAAGATAGGAAGAATTCACTCACTCTAAAAAAGAACATTCATATGCCACAAAAAATGCACCATAGGCTTGCCCGTAGTGTACTACTCCACTAATCGAGCTCATTCAGTCTAGGATCAATTATGACTTCATTTGGTTGTAATGTAGGTTGCGGGACGTGTAGGATACATTTAGGTATAAGAGTGACTACACCTCCCTAAGAACTTTAATACATATACTTTAACATTCAAACCTCATACTTATGTCAAACCAAACTCCACCTTCACATCAATGTATATTACCCCATACTTCTTTAAGTACACTTACATCAAAAGCCACCACTTATCAAGAAATATTTTTTCCACAACAATACAACTATTATTTTCCCTTTTTTTCCAATTCAAGTGGGTTTTACTTTTTTTTTTAAACAATGCACCTTTCTCTTTATTTCATTAGTTCCAATCAAAAGCCGAACCAACCATCCCACACTTTAACTTTTACAAAGTTCATAACTATTCAAGTGCTCATAAGAGGTTAGAAGGTTTAAATAGATGGTTAATTCAAACAAATGGGTAAGACTTGTAATGTGATTGCCAAAGAAAAAGGATTATAGGCTCAAAGGGATTAACTACGATATATAACAATTAGGTGGGTAAAATATACATATCTGGCTCAATAAAAAAAAATACCTATATCACTTCTAAGACTGAACAAACTACTATTTCGCTTTGCAAACACACGGGATAAGTTCTAGGCATCCAATGCAATGCACAAAATACAACAATCTTTGACTAATAGATGAACATGTATGTTTTCATCATATTGTCATGAAAAGCAAATTATAATATTTTTGGTATAGTTTTGAATATTTAAATTATAAATTTAAATTATTAATTTAATTTAATCCAATTTAATTTCAAAACTTAATCAAATTGTCTCTCGAAAATTGAAACATGACAAGTATATAAGTAAACATGAAAGCAATTAGGAATAAAAGTTATAGGTATGCTTGTAAATGAAAGCATTTAGGAATGTTTTCAAGGAATTGAGCTGAAATCAAGATAATTGGATGGATTGTTCCTCTCCTCTTTTTTATGTATTTAAAAATCTACTACCTTCGTTCACTTTTATTTGGTAGGTCTATTAAAAATGTATTTTCATTTTTACTTGTCACTTTATGCGTATCAAAAGAAGACATTTTTTTCCCTTTTATACCCACAGTATTTATTACTCATTTCAAATCATTTTCTCAAATCAAATAAAATATGTATCAATTAATATGAGTATCATGATAAATTATGTATTTCATTTATTATTTTTTAAAAGGTGTAAAAAGTCAAAATGTACCGAGTAAAAGTGAACGGAGGGAATGAGTTTCTGCATACTTTTCTTTTTATTTTTTTCCAAAAAAAAATATACTGTGAGAAAATGGAAAAATCGTTCATACATAATAGGAAAAATAAAAATAAAGTTTTGAGATGTCCTTAGAAAAATATTTACCGGTACATGGGATGTACATACTATGCAAATAAAAGCAAAGATGTATTTTCCATATAGCACATAACTTATCTTAAATTACTACTAGGAGTGATTATTTTTTGCGTCTTTATTGGGTTGTGGATTAATTGTCTGTTTCATTTCGTGAAAGTCAAACTACTAACACAGCAAGCGAGCACATCAAAGCCGCGCAAAAACTTTCAAAACATTTATGAAACGATTCACTGCTTCTCCGCTTTTACTCCCCCCACAACAAACCCTCCTATTAATTAATTAAAATCAACTCTAGCCAATGAATGCCCTCCGCTTAACCATCCTTATGGTGTTGCCTAATCACACTGGATCTTTTATTAAGTGAACTATTGCTGTCCTCTTACGGAAGACAAGGGAACACTCCCCAAATCTCAAAGTCTCCTCCTTTTAAAATCACTACTAGTACAATTTGCTTCCATTGTAAGAGTAAATTTTTACATTTATTTCCCCCAAAAATTTCTTTTTCAAGAAAATATTTTACTAGAAAGTGCTAATTTTGTTGTTGTTGTTGTTGTTTAACATTGATAATATCTAGTACTTATTGGTCTGATTAATTTAGAATGACACCTTATAGGTCCAAATTAAAAGAGGAACGTTTTCTATCCGAATTTTCCATTTTGAGCACTCACGGCAAGTGAGACTTGCTTAGTTGGTAAAACAGCTCTGCCTACGACTATTACTCCTAAATTGGGAGGGACTTTTTTTTTAAAAAAAAAAAAAAAAAACTCAAATTTTAGGATATTGTTCATCACACTATACTCCTTGGTGGTACTAAAAATTACTTCTTGCTCCAATGATTTCTTGGGGTTTACAATTTGGGTTGTTGAGGGACTATTTATTGAGTGGACAACTAATGACAGTAAGAAAAAAGGGGTGCAAAATTGTAAGTTGAATCTGATTAGTTTTATAGTTACAAAATTTGATGAGTATACTTTTATAGTTACAACTTACAATGAAATCGAAGTAAGTCATTACTTCGGATTCCCTTTTCTTAAGTAAAATAAAAACCAAACAGGACTTTAATCATCCATTTATAAGCTCGAGGGAAATATTTTATAGTGCTACACCCCACTGCTACTGCTGCACAATGATGAATGCTAAAAAGGACCTTTTTCTGAAAGCTCTGCAAAGCAAAATCTTTCTTTTTGGTAGTTAGCTTTTGAGATCCAAATGGTAACTTTAGTATCACTCATTTTCTCAATCTTTCTATTTTGGTTGGCCGTTACTCCTGCTTCTATGAGTCTTCTTTCACCTAAGGGTGTCAACTATGAAGGTAAACTCTTCTACTGTAGCTTCTTTTTTTGGGACTTTTGTAGTATTACCCTTAGCATGCAATTTCTTATTTTCACATGAAAAATCCTAACTTGTTGCTTAACACTATTTTCATAGTTTAGAGTGGAAAGATTAAAACTTACTTAAACATTTATTGAATTAAATTGTTGCGGGGTAAGCAGTGGCAGCACTGATGTCAATGAAGAATAAGATGAGAGATGAACACCAAGTTTTGGATGGATGGGATATAAATTCAGTGGATCCTTGTACTTGGTACATGGTTGGTTGTTCTTCTGAAGGCTTTGTTATTTCTCTGTGAGTGTTCTCTCTTTCTGTTACATCTTGTCACCATTTTTTTTTGTGTGTGAACTGTGAAGAGATGATTTTTATGCTTTGGTTGTTAATTCTTGGCAGTGAAATGGCGAGTATGGGGTTGTCTGGCTCACTTTCCCCCAGTATTGGGAATTTAACTCATCTACGGACACTGTAAGTAAAATAAATCTCACATGAATTGCCTACTCTTTTCTTATTTTTGGTGGAAATGTGATGCTGCTCAAATATTTCTTGGAAATATGCCAATATATTAAAATAATTAGTACTTAGTGTTATTATTATGCCTGTATTTTTAAATAATGGTTTTGGAAATTAGAACGTTAACTTATAAACGTAAATATAAATAAAACAGAAATTAATTCGAGCCCACTGAATTCACAGTGTTTCCTTAAGGAATTTAATCCCCTCCTAGTACCCAAGTTTATGGATTATTTCCTCTCAGGATAGAACGAATTACACACTGGTGTAGTGGTACTTCAAACCCCAGTGTTTCAGCGAATACAAAGTTCGGCAGCAAATCACACTTACAGATGCTTTGTTTGTAGTTTAAAACAATGCAGAACAAGGGAGGAAAACTCAGAAGTCGAATGGAAATTCTGAGAGGAAGGAATGCAAATTATAGCGAACGTTGAGTTTTCGGTGAAGAGAAGATCAATAGCTCTCAATTCTGTTTTGGTGCGTCTTCAACAAGCTGCTTGCACCATCTATTTATAGTGCAGTTAGCTGCTAAACACGGACCCGCTGCCACTCATTTAGTGGAGCACTTGGCCATGGTGGACGGAGCACCAGGCTGCTAACTAATGGAGCAATCACTTGCTATTACGAAGCAAGCATTTGGCAATGGTGGGAGACACACAAATCCACGGATTGGAACATATCCGTTACAAACACGGATATTATTACGTTAATATTTACTGTTAACAAATAAATTTGGTCCAAAAAATTAATCAATCAATCATTTGACCGAATCCGAAGCCGAAGCCGA